TAGACCTGGTTTAGACCTGGTTTAGACCTGGTTTAGTCCTGGTTTAGACCTGGTTTAGACCTGGTTTAGTCCTGGTTTAGTCCTGGTTTAGTCCTGGTTTAGACCTGGTTTAGACCTGGTTTAGTCCGGCATCTGAGGTGATATGTAAACACGCGTGGTGGTAAACACGAGTCCGACCCTTTCCCTCCGCAGTCCGAGAGGAGGAGCGTTCGACTGAAGGTGTGCGCGCCGGGGTTTAAGTCAGGGCAGTGCGGGCGTGCGGGGGTAAAAAAAAAAAAAGTACTGCAAAAGGTCTGAAATACACAAGGTAATTTAGTACTTCTGTCGTTGGGGATGGTTAAGGTTTAAGGTGGTCAAAGTCAGATGCTAAATGATGTTAAAAGGACAGTAGGATTGAAACTAGATTCACATTTGAGCAAGAATTTATACAAAAAAAAAATCAGGATTTCAGATTCAGTGTTTTTTTTTTTTATTACTACATAATTCTGTATTTTTTGCTTCATACTGTACATATATATTCCAAAAGTTGAAGATGTTTTGGCAAAATTTTGAGTAGTAGAGCAGAGGTGTCAACTCCTGGGTTAGTCCTGGTTTTTGTTTTGTTTAGTGGTTTAGTCCTGGTTTAGTACCTGGTTTAGACCTGGTTTTAGTCCTGGTTTAGACCTGGTTTTTTAGACCTGGTTTAGTTCTGGTTTAGACCTGGTTTAGTCCTGGTTTAGACCTGATTTAGACCTGGTTTAGTCCTGGTTTAGACCTGGTTTAGACCTGGTTTAGTCCTGGTTTAGTCCTGGTTTAGTCCTGGTTTAGTCCTGGTTCAGTCCTGGTTTTGTTCCTGTTTAGACCTGTTATGTTATTACATTCTTTTTTCAAACCAAGAGTTTGTTTTTATACCTTGACAGTTTCGATTGTGAAAACAAGCTCTTGGTCTGAAAAGAACCTAATGACTTAAATTATTTGAAGACCAAATTAACCTCACTGGACTGGTTTTGACCTGATTTGGACCTGGTTTTAACTTGGTTTTGACCTGATTTGGACCTGGTTTTAACTTGGTTTTGACCTGATTTTCGACCTGGTTTTAACTTGGTTTTGACCTGATTTGGACCTGGTTTTAACTTGGTTTTGACCTGATTTGGACCTGGTTTTAACTTGGTTTTGACCTGATTTGGACCTGGTTTTAACTTGGTTTTGACCTGATTTGGACCTGGTTTTAACTTGGTTTTGACCTGATTTGGACCTGGTTTTAACTTGGTTTTGACCTGATTTGGACCTGGTTTTAACTTGGTTTTGACCTGATTTGGACCTGGTTTTAACTTGGTTTTGACCTGACTTAGACCTGGTTCAGACCCTTTTGTTTAAAAATAAAAAGACTGATGAGATTTTGGACACTAGATTCACAAACTTGGTGCATTTTTTTTCATTACCACATAATTCTCTATATCTTACTTCATGTATTTGGTGTCTTACATATGTGTATAAAATGTAGAAAGTAGCTCAAATAAAGAAAATAAAAACACGAAGAGATTAGAGTTGAAAGAAGTATAATAAAAAATCTGATTCTAATAAATGCTAAAAGTATTATCAAAACTGTGTGTGGATACTAAAGAACTTTGACAACAAATTAAGGCATGCACATTTTATTTTTGCTATAACTGAAAACATTTTAAAATATTGTAATAATATTAATATAACACAACACACATCACATCTTTGTCCGGTCAAGTGGTAACGGAGGGAAACAGGGGCAGATTTTTGACATTCAAATGTCTCTTATTCAGAAACTAGAGGAACTATTGAAATAAGTAAAGTATCAGAATGTAGGAAAGAGTTACACTCCAACAGGGTCAAGTTAAACCTGTGAGATTCTTTCAAGTTGTTGACAAAAAATTTAAAAATTCATGTCGGTAACGGAGGGAATGAAATATGCAGCACTTTTTGGGCAATAAATCCAAACAGTGATAACTCTTGGTTCTCACTTACATATCCTTAACAAACTGGTTTGAATATTTGCTTCATATAGTTTTCTACCATATGGTACAAGATTAGGTTGAAAAACCTCTTACTTTTTGAGTAATGAGATTTTTTATTAAGAAAGTTCATGGTAACGGAGGGAAAAGTAACGGAGGGAAAATTGTGCAAACAAGTAGAAGGTGCAGGATTTTACATAATTTGTCGACTTTTTTCTTCTGAAAACTTTAATATTACTTCAAAATGAAAGGAAAATATTTCGATAAAATATGTCAGTCCTTCCAAGAACATTTTTATCATTTTAAATACATTTTGAAAAATCATGTCCCTTCATCAACAGTTCAAAGATGGAATAACACAAGATATGATGAAATACATCCATTTATTTACATGATTTTCAGGTCTTTGAAATTTGGGAAATAATTTTTGTTCCATGTTTCATACATGGTCTGTTTAAAACGTATGGAACTTTAGAACCAAAAATGGTACAGAAAAAAGGTCAACAGTTTCATAAACTAGAGTACATATGTATCTGTTCAATACATTTTTATATCAGATGAATTAACTTGAAGTTTTGGCCTTGTTGTTTACTTCTGCTTGACTGGGCCCATCTGTTTTATAGTTACACTTTAGGATTTGGTGGTTATTTTTCAGTATAAATAGTTGTTTTTGCATTAACTCCTCCTGCAGATACACGGGCCGCGTCTCATTTCTCTCCCTTCGCTTCTCCTCGATTCTCTCTCGATCCTGCAGGAAATGGTCGAGGAAGTCCCGCCCACAGAGGAGACAAAGACGCGAGGAAAGACGCTATAAACTCCTCGCCGAGACCGAGAACGTTTTGATTCTTTTCCGCCTCGCGTTTACTCCTTCCTTCCTTCCGCGGTTAATGCTCAAAAACGGAAACTCGAGGAAAGGAATCGAGGAGAAGGAAGCGAGGAAAGAGAACTGAGACGCGGCCAGAAACACACAGAGACGCACGTAATACTTTTGAGACCGCTCTGAACCGCGCCAAACCGATCCGCCATATTGGACAGAGCCCGCTTTAAGCCGGGCACGGCGCCTTTAAATAGAAACGCTCCTTTGTTTGTTTAGCCTCAAACACAATCCCCTTTAAATGCAGTTTTAAGGCCCAATCAATGTGTTATCCCACTGCGGCCGGGGTCATGGCTCCCGACCAGTGCTCTTTTCTTTTTATTCCTCTTTTTTTTCCAGTCCCCGAGCAGCAGAGAGGTCGTGAGAGGACACGGGAGTCTAGGCTGTGTTAAAAGAACTGTACCTGATGTTTGCTATTTTTAAAAAACGGGAAAAGCAGAAGTCGTTTAAGGGCTCGTGTTTTTCTGATCTGTGTTGTAATGTCGGTTTCCTCGTCACAAACAGACCCGGAGTTGTGTTTCGTTTCTTTCACACGTGTATTTAGTCGATTGGTTTAGTTCTTCTCTCGAACCGAAAACGCTCGATATTATTGTGAGACTTTTGACGATGCAAAAGTCACGTTATTTCGGTTTTGGTCGCGTCCCTCGGAGATACACGTGAATTTAATATCAGATCGTTTAAAACGTTTAACCTGAGCCGAGTGAGAGTGAACAAGTGAACAAGTGAAATGACTGCAAATAAGACCACGAGTGACTTTAAAACTGGACTAAACCAGGACTGAATCGAGGACTGAACCCAGGACTAAACCAGGACTGAACCAGGACTGAACCAGGACTGAACCATGGACTGAACCAGGGACTGAACCGAGGACTGAACCTGGACTAAAACTAGGACTAAACCAGGACTGAACCAAGGACTGAACCAAGGACTGAAACCGAGGACTGAACCGAGGACTAAACCAGGACTAAAACCAGGACTGAACAAGGACTAAACCAGGACTAAACCAGGACTAAACCAGGACTAAACCAGGACTGAACAAGGATTAAACCAGGACTAAAACCAGGACTGAACCAGGACTAAACCAGGACTGAACCAAGGACTGAACCGAGGACTGAACCTGGACTAAACTAGGTCTAAACCAGAACTAAACCAGGACTGAACCGAGGACTGAACCGAGGACTGAACCGAGGACTAAACCAGGACTAAACCAGGACTAAAACCAGGACTGAACCAGGACTGAAACCGAGGACTGAAACCGAGGACTGAACCAGGACTAAACCAGGACTGAACCAGGACTAAACCAGGACTGAACCATGGACTGAACCAGGACTAAACCAGGACTAAACCAAGGACTGAACCGAGGACTGAACCAGGACTAAACTAGGTCTAAACCAGAACTAAACCAGGACTAAACCAAGGACTGAACCAGGACTAAACCAGGACTAAACCGAGGACTAAACTAAGGACTGAACCAGGACTGAACCAGGACTAAACCAGGACTAAACCAGGACTAAACCGAGGACTAAACTGAGGACTAAACCAAGGACTGAACCAGGACTAAACCAGAGCTTAACCAGGACTAAACAAGGACTAAACCAGGACTAAACCGAGGACTGAACCAAAACTAAACCAGAGCTGAACCAGGACTAAACCAGAACTAAACCAGAACTGAATCAGGACTAAACCAGGACTAAACCAGAGCTAAACCAGGACTGAACTGAGGACCAAACCAGGACTAATCTTGGACTAGAACTTGGAAGATCGCGATCGGGCGTCAGCTGCGGTTCTCCCCGTGGAGCGCGGACGTCTGCGCCGGTCCCTTCGCCCGCGGTCACCCGACGGTCCGCGCGGGCGCACCTCCGGCCTTTCACCGCTGCTGATATCGCGGCGATTTTAGCGAATTTACATGAAGAAATTATAAGCTTTGAGTTTTACCGCCAAAGCAAGCAGCAACCAGCATGCTAACACACACTTCCTGTTTATCAGACACCAAAGCACCTGATACTGAGATGCAGACAGTAAACAAACGGCATATTTTGACCCCAAGAACTTTACCTTTACCGTGTATCTGGGACTGGGACAAGACTAATTTAGCTGAAATACTTGAGGGAAAAAATCGTGTACAAACTTGTTCTTCATTGACGTCTCTGTTGTGTGTTCAGATTTTTGCAGATGCTCCGACCTCGTGCCCTCCCTCTCCCGCCCAGCCCGTGTTCACCGCTCCCACCAGACAGTCCAAGAAGATGAGTCGACAGAGCAGGCCCCTGGCAGTCTACAACCCTCAGGTCCTAGATATACAGAACGGTAAGGAAAATGAAAACACAGAACAGTATTTTATGTCGTTAAAGGGCGCGTATTACTTTATTTTCTGATTATTTCTGGTTGTAATGTTGTTTCCGTCGTCACAAACAGACCTGGAGTTGGGTTCCGGTTTCATTCACGCATGTTTAAGACACAAACTCTGCAGATTTAGGCTGAGTTCTTCTCTCAAACTGAAAACACTCTGTTCCACCTTGTGATGTCATGTGGTGATTGTTGAGCGTTTGTCCACCGATCTGAAAGTTTGCGGTTCGAATCCTGACTTCGACGTAAACTTCGTCGGTTGAGCGGTCGAATCCGGAGACCCGCAGGTCGGCGGTGCGATTCCAGCTCCCGCTGACTGAATGCTGCCGTTGTGTCCTCGGGCAAGGCACTTAACAGACCTCGCGTCACCCACCTCACCCGCATATGCACCACCACATAAGAAGAACTAACAAAAACAAAACTAGGAAAAATACTACAAACAAAATAGACAAAAAAAAACAGGGGAAACAGGGCAGCCGCGGGTCTTAAAAGTCTTAATTTCATGTTCCTAAATTAAATTAAGGCCTTAAAAGTCTTAAATTATGTTGTCCAAGTCTTATTTTTTTCACAATGGTCTTAAATTTCATTAGTCTATGTTAGAGAGAAGGAAAAAAAACAATGTGAAATCATGTAATGTGAATAAATGTCTAATTTGGAGCATAAACAAACCATCAGTAAAGTGGAGGAAGACGTTGACTGGATCATGGGGAAGTGTCGGTTTAATCCACAGTGACTCTTAGATTCTAAATATAATAGTTGGTTGGCAGTGTCGGGGAGTAACAGATTACAGGTACCAGAGTTATGTAATCAGAGTACAAATTATGAGTAACTGTATTCAGTTACAGTTACTGTTTCAGTGAGTGGTAATTGGATTACAGTTACTTTGTTGAAATAAATGGATTACACGGTGGTATTTTCCTGTTTTTACATTTTGGGCTATATCCCTTTTTTTTTTTCCATAATTCCACTCATTGCCAGACACTAAACCAGGTCTAAACCAGGTCTAAAACCAGGACTAAACCAGGTCTAAAACCAGGTCTAAACCAAGTCTAAACCAGGTCTAAACCAGGTCTAAAACCAGGACTAAAACCAGGTCTAAAGCCAGGTCTAAAACCAAGTCTAAACCAGGTCTAAACCAGGTCTAAAACCAGGACTAAACCAGGTCTAAAACCAAGTATAAACCAGGACTAAACCAGGTCTAAACCAGGACTAAACCAGGACTAAACCAGGTCTAAAGCCAGGTCTAAAACCAAGTCTAAACCAGGTCTAAACCAGGTCTAAACCAGGTCTAAACCAGGTCTAAACCAGGTCTAAAACCAGGACTAAACCAGGTCTAAAACCAGGTCTAAAACCAAGTCTAAACCAGGTCTAAACCAGGTCTAAAACCAGGTCTAAAACCAGGACTAAACCAGGTCTAAAACCAAGTATAAACCAGGTCTTAAACCGGGTCTAAAACCAGGTCTAAAACCAGGTCTAAACCAGGACTAAACCAGGTTTAAAACCAGGTCTAAAACCAGGTCTAAAACCAGGTCTAAAACCAAGTCTAAACCAGGTCTAAACCAGGTCTAAACCAGGACTAAACCAGGACTAAACCAGGACTAAAACCAGGACTAAACCAGGACTAAACCAGGTCTAAACCAGGTCTAAAGCAGGATTTAACAGGACTAAATCATGCTGCGTGGGCGTGTTTCTTCGTCTTCTATCAATAATATTTTTAATTTGGTTCAGTAAAGTCTGGACTTTTTATTTTCTTTTAGCAGATAAAACATCTTATGTTACGATTTCCTCGTCTTTGCTTCTCTACAGCAAATCAAATAATCCAAAGTATTCAGATTACATTACTCACTTTAAGTAATTTAATGGATTGCAAACCACATTTTGAGGTATGTAATCTGTAGGGGATTACATTTTAAAAGTAACTTTCCCAACACTGTTGGTTGGTCATTATTAGTTTTTCGCCCACATAATGGGTGCGATGTTGGTCTTAATTTCCATTTAAGTGGTTTTAAAAAGGTCTTAAAAAAGTCTTAAATGTGGGGTAGTGATACCTGGGGATACCCTGGGAAAACAAAAGGTGCCCAAACGTAACACCACCTCACCCGCAAACCCATAACAACTGTGAGTGATGCAAGTCACCCCTCACAAAATCTGTTCAGCCTCCTGCCCTCTGTTCCACCAGACTCACCAACTGCTTCATCCACCGGGCTGTTAGGATGCTGAACTCTCTCTCCTCTCTAACCACCAGGCAGCCAGGAAGCGGGAATCTGCAGCTTCCTAAAGAAGAACTTTAGATTTTTCCTTTTATTTTATTATTATTTAATTTAGAAGATTGAGAGTGAGAACATAATTAACATTTTTATATGTTCAAAAACTTTGGAATTGAATTGAATTTAATAATTTCATCTGGAATAGCTAATCTCTACTGAACTAAAGGTAAAGTTAACTGTTAACTTAGAAACTACCAGTATGTGACATCACAAGGTGGAAGAGAACATTTTGAACTTTGCAGATGTAGACAGACTGATAATAAAGTGTTACTCAGACATGTGTGAATGAAACAAAACACAACTCCAGGTCTGTTTTTGATCAGGTAACAACATTATAACATGTTTTAAAGCTCACAAGAGTCAGTTTTGCACAATCTACATTTGCATAGATTCAAGTGTAAAACTGTTAAACCAGGTTATACCAACTTAAAACTCACATCTTTCTCTTGCCAAACGTATCCCCATAGTCGTACAGGCGCTTCTCCCCCCTCTGTCATTCCCTCACTGTTTGCTTTCCTCCTGAGTTTCCGTGGCTCTGGTGTATCTCTGGTGAATCTGCAGCATTATTTCTGAACAGCCACATTCGATATAAGTGCTTTGCTCAGACAGAGTTCTGATGTACGCGCTGGTGTGTTGACGGGCCTCGCCTTATGTATTGATAAATAATTCACGTGTGTTTTATCAGGCAATGAGCCCTCATCACTCACAGAAGTAGGTCAAGGATTGAGCTGCTGCATTGTGAGGAAATAACCAGTGTTACTATGAATTGTGTTGTATCCTGAGTAATCGCTAACCTGGTTTATAACAGATGGATATGTGGAGGACTAAAGTCAGAGTACGGAAACGAAAAAACTCGCTGAAAGAGATGGAAAAAAGGCATAATGTTTTAATGAAAATTTGAGTCTGATTGGTCAAAGCATCAATTATTATTATTATGTATTTAAATTAGTGCTGTCATGCGATTAAAAAAATTGAGAGATTAATTAATTATGATCTGTAATTAATTAATCTAATTAATCTCATTTTAATCTCACCTAAAAATTGCTGAGAAAAGCTTCAATTTGAGGTATTTTCATTTAAATTCATTATTACATTATTGTGGCAGATCAAAAGACTGATATAGATTAAAAAAATGACTTTATAAAGTCATTTATTGTTTAACAAATCTCTCCAAATTGTCTGTTGAGCCAAAGTCTCCATGAATAAGAAACTGTTTGCTGTAAAGTAGCAAAGACGAGGAAATCTGAACATAATAACTTTTGTTTACTTAAAGACAATAAAAAGTCCATCTTTCCTTAACCATATTAAAAATATTATTGATAGAGAAATGCTTTATATATGAGATCACTGGTTTTAGTCCTGGTGTTAGTCCTGTTTAGACCTGTTTAGTCCTGGTTTAGCCTGGTTTAGTCCTGGTTTAGTTTGGTTTAGTCCTGGTTTAGACCTGGTTTAGTCCTGGTTTAGTTCTGGTTTAGTCCTGGTTTAGTCCTGGTTTAGACCTGGTTTAGACCTGGTTTAGTCCTGGTTTAGACCTGGTTTAGTTCTGGTTTTAGTTCTGGTTTAGTTCTGGTTTAGTTCTGGTTTAGTCCTGGTTTAGTCTGGACTGGTTAGTCCTGGTTTTAGTCCTGGTTTAGTTCTGGTTTAGTCCTGTTTAGTCCTGGTTTAGTCCTGGACTGGTTAGTTTTTAGTCCTGGTTTAGTTCTGGTTTAGTCCTGAGTCCTGGTTTAGTCCTGGACTGGATTAGTCCTGGTTTTAGTCTTGGTGTTAGTTCTGGTTTAGAGGCGCACAGGAGGAAGCGCGGTTTACGCCGCGTACGTGAGAAAACACGATCCACACGCGGCTCACGGGAGCACGTCGGTGTCACGCAGTAACTACGGAAGGAAACGTGGTCCGCGCGTTCTCAGGTTAATGACGATGATGAAGGTGTGTGTTTGTGTGTGTTGTGTTTGTGTGTTGTGTGTTTGTGTTTGTGTGTGTTTGTGTGTGTTTGTGTGCGTGTCCCCTCATGTGCAGGTTGTTTTCAGGCGATATTATATTTGTTATTTTCTTTTATATTTCACGTCGGGAGAATAATTTCCAAGACATGAATGTGTTTTTACCTGTGCACTGCTGCTCTGTTCTACTGGCTCTTCGACCTCGTCCATTGTGACTGACGCCGCCAACGTTAACATGACGTTTACTTACGCTGTTACTGCGCGCGTTTTGTGTGGGTTTCCGGCAATGAGTGGAATTACCGAAATAAAAAAATGTATAAATGTGTTTTTTTTGTGTGTGTGTGTGTGTTTGTTGTCCCAACATATATAAATACATTATAATAAAGCAACTCACATACAGAAACACTAAAGTTAGAGATTAAAAAATGAGATTAACGCGATTAAAAAACATAACGCGCTAAATATGACTGTAATTAATTAATCGCAATTAACGCGATAATTTGACACCCCTACTTTAAATATTTCTAAAGTCAAGCTAATACACGTATCAAGAATCTCGGACTTCCGGTCATTGCGCAATTCATACTGGGAAGGATTTTCCTAAAAAGTGAACATCAAACCTCCAACCCTAACCCTACTGACAAAGTCGATCTTTTCAAGTCTTTTGAATCATATCGCTTTTGTTTCTGGTTCTGATATTGTCGTATTTTAGTTTTGATTAATCCTTAATTGTTGTGGTTGTTGGATCCTAACAGCGGAAAACGGCTCGAGAAATTTGTTTGCGAACTCCATAAATGCAAAAGGGAATCAGATGTGTGTGACTGCAAACCTCCGTTCAAACTGTTTCTCTTCCCAACGGAATTGAAAAATAGTGAAAGGTGAAGGCGATGGGCAGGATTGATCCACAGGAAGAACGAAAAAGGAAACATTTAACTGCCTAAATCAGGGGAGCTCAGACTTTTTCAGCATGTGAGCTACTTTTAAAATGATCGTGTCTGAAAGATCTACCACCTAATACAAAAATGTTAAACATATATTTATTTGTAAATGTATTATGAATTCTTACATGTACAACACATTTTGATGTACCTTGCATAACGTCATGAGATAAAACTGCACAACACAATTAAACTTTTTACATGTTCGTAATGACTTGAATCAGGGGTGCCCACACTTTTTCAGCATGCGAGCTACTTATAAAAGTCAAAAATGATCAACCGACTACAAAGTCAAGTAAACTGTACTGGACTTAAAGGTTGTATGGAGGATTTTTTTTTTTTTCAAATTGTCAGTGAAAGTTTAAAATACCATTACAGAGACGCAGCAGCCTCATAATTATGACGACCAAAAAAATAAAAAGAATGAAAATCTATCAACTGTGAACGTAATGAAGCCAGATAAACATCAGCCAATAGAAAACAAGGCTACCTCATTTTCTATTGGCTGTTAGGTTGTCAATCAAACTCTCTACGTTTCTAGTGTAACTGAGTCGAAAGCGCGCGGGGATTATGTGGTTTATGCAGCGGTTCTTAGAGGCTTTTTCTAACTGTAGCTTCCTCGCAGTTCACTCAAAGTTTGTCGCGATGGCGGACGAGAATCCACAACCAGTTCGCCTCAAAAGAAAGTCCGTTTTTAAGGTCGCTGAAAGAAGAAGAGAAGGGGAAAAGGAGCGAAGCCAAACTGAGGTGATTCTTGGAGATTCCTTCCAGCGATGGCGCGAATGAAGCAGACGAAGGGTCTAAAAACTGACGTGTCGGTCACTAAATTATTTCCAAACAGGTCACTTCAACAGTAAGTCTGAACGAGCACTGGCTGTAAACAAGGGTGATTTCTAGAGTAAGGAGGCATGAGAAGATGTTTCTACTGAGGCTGTGGAGGAGGAAGGTGGTGTCACGTATGCACAACATTTGAAAAAGGACTGTTGCTGTATTTCTTTTCCCTTAAAAAATCCTCTATACAACCTTTAAGAGAACTTTCAGGGAGCGTGTGTGATTGTGATGTGCCGCACAGTATCCGCGTGTTCCAAATGGCGCACAGGCTATAGTGAGACGCTCCGCACGCTCCCGCACCCCGGTACAAGTTTATTGCCAACAGCAGCGGCCGTAATATGATCGCACTTGTCCAGTGTCAGACCTCGAGTGGGAGACAAGACCGAGACGAGACACGGCGAGCTACCCACACGACCTTGGCGATCGACGTATTGAGCACCCCTGGCCTAAATCATCCCGAGTTTGCGGCGAACATTTTGTATGCGGAGCGCCAACAAAGCAAAATCCCGATCCCTCGCTCAACCTCGGTGACGAATTTAAAGGTCAACGCCAAAGCGAAAGGCACCAAGAAACACCTTCCACTGCAAAGAGACCAAGACGTGATGTTGCTGTAAAACCACAAGAACAAGAAAGTGCAGCTCAGTCTGTTTGTCTTCTGCACCTCTCGATTAACAAACGGGATTTTGCTTTGTTGGAGCTCCACATACAAAATGTTCGCTGCAAACTCGGGATGATTCAGGTTCTAATCGAGGTTATCTGAAACTTTATTTTATACCTTGCTTTGATGGACCAGCCTAATGTGTGTGTGTGTGTGTGTGTTATAACTAAGCATGTTGAAGTTGAAGGGAAGAGAGAAAGTAAGGAGGTTGAGCTTAAAGGTTGTATGGAGGATTTTTTTTGTTTCAAGTTGTCAATGATAGATTATAGAGATGCAGTAGCCTTGTAATTATGATGACCAAAAAAAAGAGAATAAAAATTCATCAACTCTGGACGTGGTGGGGCTAAACATTTGCCAATAGATAACGACACTGCCTCGTTATCTGTGAGCTGACAGGCTGTCAATCAAACTCCCTACGTTTCTAGTGTAACTGACTTGCCTGCGCCGCCGGTACGTGGTTTACGTACGACTGTCACGCAGTCCACAGACGCAAGACGCACAGACGCTGTTTACTCCACCAACGCAACAGTTCTTAGCGGCTTTTTTTGACCTATATCTTCCTCGCAGTTCGCACAAAGTTTGTTGCAATGGCGACAAGAATCCAGGAGCAGTTCGCCGCAAAAGAAAGTCCGTTTTTGAGGTCGCTGAAAGAAGAAGACAAGGGGAAAAGCAGCGAAGCCAAACTAAGGTGATTCTTGTAGATTCATTCCAGCGATGGCGCGACTGAAGCAGACGCAGGGTCTAAAGACTGACGCACTGGTCCACAAATTACTCCTGGACAGGAAACTTCTGCTTATTATGAAAACGTACTTTATTTCCAAGAGCTACACAAACGTTTTTCAGGACACGAAAGCGATATCCTATGTCTGAAAACGTAATTTTCAAGGCAAAGAAAGAGTCCGCTTGCTGCTGCGTGTTGTAGCTAGTTCATTCGCACTGAATCTCCGCGCAACCTTCTCTGCACCCCTTTCCTGCTCCTCTCCCCGCTGCCCGATCCGCTCTTCCCCCTGCTCCTCACTTCTCCGGGCACGGAATCTCCGCGCACCCGCTCCCCTCTCCTCTCTCCTCTCTCCTCTCCCTGCTCCGCTCTTCTCCCTGCTCCTCACTTCTCGTCCGCGAACGAAATGTCCGCACACCCGCTCCCCCCGCTCCTCACTTCTCCGTCTTGCCTAACCAACACTGTAGTTAGTTGTTTACAAGTCATGTGCAGCACCGGCTGTAAACAAACCTGTTTCTGGCGTAAGGAGGAGGAGGGAGGAGGCGTTTCTACGTAGGAGCTGTAGGGGAGGGGGGGTGGTTTCACGCATGCGCAACATTTGAAAAAGGACAAACAGTCGCTGGATTTCTCGTTCCTTGGAAAATCCTCTATACAACCTTTAAGTGAGGGAATCAACAAGAAGAAAGATATAGAAATATATATAAAGCATACATTTTTTGTTAACTCCATTTGAGAGACGGTCACAGACGTCTTCCCTGTCCTTATCTACACGTTTTTTACAAAGTCGTCTGTATTTCCGCTCAAATAGACTGAAGTCCGACCGTCCCCATCGCCGTGCTTGTTTTGGTTCGTTTCACCTGTTCCACCTGTCAGTCAAACACAACTCAAGACAGATTCACCAACGGCCACGCTCGCATTGGTGTCAAGTATTGAAGAAGTCGACATTCCGGATCCCAGACAGGCATAATATAGACTGATCCTGATACTAAGATTGTATTTTTAAACTTGATTCAAGAATTGCCTGTGAATAATCAGTCAGTGGAGTCTCAGTCGACCAAAATTTGTATCAGTCGACTAATTCAGTTCAGATTATAAGGATTTATGTGGGACAACATCAGAAAGGAAAGAGTATGCAGTGATTTAGCTGTCGATTTGGGAGTGAATCTCGAGTTTAATCTGTCTTTTTATCTATCAATACCAGAGGAGGAGACTTGCAAGTCGTGACATGGACTCGAGTCAGACTTGAGTCACTATTTTTAGGACTTGAGACTTGACTTGAGAAGCACTTTTAAATCTGAATTCTTTCTATTCTGACTGTAATGATTCACACAAAGATCTTGTCAAGACATTTAAAAAGGAAAAAAAAAACTAAATTAATGTCTTTTATACTCTATAAATACCCTTGTATAAATATACTATGATTTTTTTAAGTACAATTTATCTTAAAATTCATATAATTTGCCAAAATCTACTTTGGTTTAAAGACTTGAAATGACTTGAAGCTCAAAGCAGACGACTTGGATTTGACTTGGACTTTTGGGCCAGTGACTCGAGACTCGACTTGGACTTGTCTGTATTTGACTTGACTTGACTCGGACTTGAGGCCTGTGACTTGAGAAGCACTTTTAAATCTGAATTCTTTCTATTCTGACCGTAATGATTCACACTAAGATCTTGTCAAGACATTTAAAAAGGAAAAAAATAACAAAATTAATTTCTACATCTCTTATATACTCTATACTATAAATACTCTAAAAAATACTATGACTTTTTAAGTACAGTTTATCTCAAAATTCAGATAAATTACATTGGTTTAAAGACTTGAAATGACTTGAAGCTCAAAGCAGACGACTTGGACTTGGGCCAGTGACTCGAGACTCGACTTGGACTTGCCTGTATTTGACTTGGGACTTGACTCGGACTTGAGGTCAAAGACTTGAGACTTGCAAAACAACGACTTGGTCCCAAGACTTTAACCTGATCTTTGTTTTAACACAATCTAACTGGAGTAACGGAGCTTCAGACAGAGTAGTTCCTTCAGTTTGCATCACATCCTTAGAAATAAGCTATAACATGTAACATTCCTAATCTCCTGGTTATTCTCTCTGTCCTCCAGTGTCCCCGGTGACGGACAGTGTGGTGGCGGGACTGGCCTCTGACGAGACGTCCATGGGCAGTAACGACTCCATGTCCTCCCACTCGTCCTCCGCCTCCGCCTCCGAGACGCCCACCGACAAGAGCGACCACGCCCCCCTCTGCTCCTCGCTCAGCTCCGGAAGCAACTCCAAGTACGTCACCGTCCACATAAACTGCTTTACTGGTGCTTTAAAATATCTAATAAAATGCACATGGGCGGAGCCTTGTGCAGAATCTTACAGTGAACCGTAAGGAGGCTTTGAATTTGCCCTAGAGAGATCGCTAGATTATTTAAACATGAGTGGATGACTCTAAAACCTCTTCAGACATGTTTTGGACGAGGGAACAACGTTATAAGTTGATTTTTCATAATGCTCCCTTTTGAAAATGAAGTGAAAAAGTGAATTGAAATAATTTTGGACACATTGGCACAGTATTAGTATCTATTAGCTCATGTTTTTACCTTAAAATTATGACTGTGCATGGAAAGAAGGAGCTTTTCTTTTACACATATAACAACATTCTAAAATGGAAAAAGTCAATTGCCACGTCTACATGAGAGCTTTAATTCTGATTGAAAATAATTTAGTTCGGAATAAAAATGAATTCCGCTTTAAAAAGACCAATAAACACTTAATTCCTAACGGAAATGATTATTCGGAATTAAACTTAATTCTGAAGTAAGTGGGTTGTTTATTCCAATTTTAAACCAAATTATTTAGTTCCTCAATCATGTAAATCAGGGGTGTCCAGCTCATTTTGGTCCGGGGGCCGTATCCAACCGACTTTGATCCCAAAGGGATCATGTCATATAAACCCCAAAAATAACAATAAGTTCAAATATTTGTGCAGAGAAACACAAATCTATTACAGAAATCTTTTTTAATTGATGAACTGTTTCTTATTATAATATTATAATATTACAATATTATGAACAACCTGAAACTTGAAGAAAAATTCAATTTCAACACAATGTTTTAACAATAACTTGTTTGCAAACAGGAATAAGTCAGTTTTTCTTGTAAAATCCTGCACTCAGCTCCACTTTTCTCATGTTGGACATTTTGTTGATGAGGGTGTCACGGTCAACAGTCAAAACGATCGTCCTTTAAGAGCGTTTGGAAAGAGACAAGTCTTCATTTGTGCTGCTCTGGTGGGAGGGGCCACGTACAGAGACGCTGGAGACGCTGCTGTGATAAACACCGCAGAAAATTAACAATGTTTTAATAGAAAATACTATTCAAATATTTTAGTAGAAAATCAGCCAAGGGCCACATTAAAGGTCTTGGAGGACCGGATCCAGCCCCCGGGCCGTTATGTTTGACACCTGTGATGTAAATGTTTATTCTTCTTAAAAATAATTCTGGTCATTCAGTTCATGCTCGTTGGGTCGCACTTTGATCCGGCTCCACCAGTCCTCGTTTCGGACTTTCCTCCACGTCTCTTTGGATTTGTGAGCGGGATGTGGGAGTGGGCTGAGGTAGAACAGCCTCACACTCACTTTGTCTTCTTCCTCCTTCTCCGACACTCTTCCCTTCTCCTCCTCCGCCGACAGACGTAAAACACCATGAGAGAATTCTCCAGCTGCTGCGCAATTATCATCGGAACCACTGCGGAAAAAAGTTTGGATCGTGTTTGTGTCCGTGGCGTAACGACAAACGGAGACGTCAGAAAAGCCGGTAGCAGCTGAAGTGTGTGTTTTCTTCCGGTCGACGTAAATACGTTGGCGTCTCTGTCGCTGAACAGAATTAAATAAAGACGATTTAACGTGTTTTCCATTTAAACCTCAATTCAGAATTATGACGTCCATGTAAATTCAGAGAACTGTTTAATTCAGAACAATTTAGAATTAAAAAACATAATTTAGACACAGATGAATACTGTCATTGTGTCCTTGGGCAAGACTGACTAAAATGTGGAAAAGCTCTATATAAAAATGTGACCAATGTGACCAAGATTATACAGGTGTAAAAATGTGTAGTTTTAACTTGATAAAACGCCGCACTCTGAACTGGAACTTGTTTCAAATTCTGACACTGAACATGTAACCGCTCGGCACAAACGTGAGCTCTGGAGTTTTTGGACTTGATTGAATAATTGCAATATTTATACAAGGTCTTGCGAGATTTCCCTCAACAGTCTTCAGTCTTCTGCCAGTGAAATGTTCCAGAGAATTAATCAAAAATATTTCACAAAACACTTTTTCTTATTTTCTTTGTGCTCGGTCCAGACACATTTAGAAGAACTGTCAAAGGGGTTTTCAGGGCTCCAAACACACAACTCCCTCCTCTGCATTAAACCATCATCTGTCATATTTATGGTTTCATTACAGTTCAACAGTTCTCAGCGGTGTGTAGTTACTTTTACTTGTAACATTTTAAAGAAATTGTTCTTTACTAACAGAATACTTCCACTCTTACTTGAGTAAACGTGGTTTCTCTTCCCACTGTGAGTACCGTATTTTTCGGATTATAAGTCGCACTGGACGCATTTTTTGGGGGGAAATGTATTTTATAAAATCAGAGACCAGGAACCGGCATTTTATCTTGTAGTTTTTATCAAGTTCTAGTGAAAAACAATAGAAGAGAGAACAACAGACTGTTAACGTCACATATGAACAGTTCTTCAGATAAACTATAACATAAACAACAGAACAGAACAAGTTTAACAAACTCTCCATCTCACTCCAAATCACTAAATCCATTCAATTCTTCATCCTCGGTGTCACTTTTGAGCAACTCCACGACCTCCGCAGGTAAACAGAGCGACGCTTCCTCTTCTGTGTCGCTGTCGTCAGACTCAGCATCAGTTCCAGTTACAACCCCAATTCCAGTGAAGTTGGGACGCTGTGTAAAACTAAAAAAAAAAACAAAAAAAACAGAATACAATGATGTGCAAATCCTTTTCAACCTATATTGAACTGCATAAAAGACATGATATTAATGTTCAAACTGATAAACTTTATTGTTTTTATGCAAATATTCACTCATTTTCACTTTGATCTCTGCAACACGTTCCAACGTTCCTACGTGCAGAGATTTCTCCAGATTCTCGGAATCTTTTGATGATATTATGGACCGTAGATGATGAAATCCCTAAATTCCTTGCAATTGTACATTGAGAAATGTTGTTCTATTTGCTCACACAGTTGTTCACTAAGGCTACGTTCAGACTGCAGGGCTTAATGCTCAATTCCGACTTTTTTGTGAAATCCGATGTTTTTGCGAGGTCGTTCACATTTCCAATTAAATGTGACTTGTATGTGACTCCAGTGTGAACGTTAAACGGCCCAAAAGTGTCCCGCATGTGACACTGGAGACATGACGACGTCAACCGCAGCGAGCGTCTCTGTGTTTACAGAAGTTGTCCAAACATGGACGCAGCATCGAGCACCTGGAGATTTTAAAGTTCCTCTCGTACCGGAGCCAGAACATGAACAACTTACTTGTTTTAAGGAGGAGATTGAGAAGGAGAAGGACGAGGTTTTTGGTCGTGGTGTTTTGTGGGACAGTCCGTTGAAAGGAACGTGTGGATGTGGAGACGGAGCCAAGAGTGGTGAGTGGTGATGTGCCTCGCTTCAGTGACATGGAGTTTCTCCTACTTCAGTGCAGAATAGTGACGTTTGTGTCTTGTTGATGACGTGTAGGTGGATGAATGCACTTTGGCCGTTCAGACTGAAGTCACATGTCAAAAGATCAGATATGTATCGGTTTCAGGAGCACATATCCAAGTGTCCTGGGTCACATTTGAAAAAATCGGATCTGTGTCGTTCAGACTGTCATTAAAAGATCAGATACAGGAACATAGGGGCCAAAAAATCAGATTTGGGTCACTTCAGGCTGCAGTCTGAACGCAGCCAAAGTGGTGAGCCTCGCCCCGTCTTTGCTGGTGAATAGCTGAGCCCTTTGGGGAAACTCCTTTTACACTCGATCATGACACTCACCTGTTTCCAATGAACCTGTTCACCTGTGAAATGTTCCAAACAGGTGGATTTCAAGCATTCCTCAACTTTCCCATTCTTTTGTTGCCCATCCCAGCAGACATCAAATTGAAAATGAGTGAATATTTGCATAAAAACAATAAAGTTTATCAGTTTGAACATTAAATATCATGTCTTTGTAGTTCATTCAGTTCAATATAGGTTGAAAAGGGTTTGCAAATCATGGTATTCTGTATTTTTTTTAGTTTTACACAGCGTCCCGTCATTGGAATTGGGGTTGACAGGATGGTTTCGTTGTCACTGAAGTCCAGGCTTTGTCCATCCATCCAGTGACTTCCAGGAAAGTTTCATGGTGCATCCTCCCAGTTGCCGTGAAGCTGTGTTCTCCATCCCCGTTTTTTGCCAGTCCCTCACAAGTTTCTCGCTCACTCCAAACTAGGGATGGGCATGATTAGTCGATTAATCGATAATTGATCATTAAGAATTTCATCGATTACGTAAATTTTAATCGACAAACCGAATGTAGGTTACTGTGTGTAGTGTGACCAAACAGGTGTGTACATGTGTCTCTGCATCAGAAAGAGCGAGACACAAACAGCCAGTCCACCTGCAACGTACCGAAGTGCATATGCGTATTTAACGATGATTTGTACAAGAAATTCCACACTTTCCGTTGCGTTCGGGACAAGTGTGAGTCCATGTGCACAGTGTATAAAGCAGCACATATGTTTCTGTGTCCAGTGGGAAAAAGTTTTGCCAGGTGAGAGTCGCTCAATGTCGGATGACGAGTCCCCACCTCCCTCCCCCCGTACGGTGTCCTGGTTTTGACAAACGCAAATCTGGTCACACTAACCTGTATTCACCTGAGTCATGTCTTTTAATCCGACAGAAATTGAACCACATCAGCGACACAAGAGCTGTAGTTTTATCTTCGCTTAGTTTATGCAAATTAGCGATGTGGTTTTTAGTTTCGTTTCTGTGAGAGTTGAACAAAACTGAATTAACACATAATAATAAACGGGCTGATGTGGCTCTAGAGTCGTTACGTTTTATTTGTCGTAAAGTTTAATTTATTTATGCAGATTAGTAGTGCAGATAGTAATAATAATGATGATCATTTTAATACAAAAAGGTTAATGATTAATCGATAATCGATCGTAAATTCTCTCGACGATCGATTAAGAAAATTTCATCGAATGCCCATCCCTACTC